GGAGGGCATTTAGGGGTGATTGGGCCAGCAGGGGAGAGTAGTTGGGAGTGACCCGGCCTGAAGGGGAGGGAAGTTGGGGGGAACCATGGTCAGCAGGGCAGGGCAGTTAGGGGTGTCCAGGCTGGCAAGGGAGGGCAGTTAGACCAGGATAGCAGGGGAGGGCTGTTGGGGTCAACCAGGCCTTCAGGGGAGGTCCATTTGGGGCTACAAGGCCAGCAGGAGAGGGCAGTTAGGGGTGACCAGGTTGGAAGGGAAGAACAATTAAGGGCAATAAGGCTGGTGGGGTGGGGCAGTTAGGGTGACCAGGCTGGCAAGGGTGGGAAGTTATGAGTGACTAGGCCTTTAGGGGAGTGCAGTTGGGGATGACTAGGACTGAAGAGGAGGGTCATTGTGGGCAACCAGGCTGGTAGAGGAGGGCAATAAGAGGTGACCAGGCTGGCAAGGGAGGGTAGTTAAGGGTGACCAGGCAAGCAGGAGAGGGCATTGAGGGTGACTAGGCATTCAGGGAAGGATTGTTAGGGGCAACCAGGTCAGTAGGGAAGAGTAGTTAGGGGTGACCTGGTTGGCAGAGAAGGGCAGTTAGGGGCAATGGGGTCTGCAGGGGAGGGCAGTAAGGGTGACCAGGCTGACAAGAGAGGGAAATTAAGGGTGTTCAGGTCAGCAGAGAAGGGCAGTTGTGGGCAACCAGGCCTACAGGGGAGGACAGTTAGGGGCAATCAGGCCAGCAGGGGATCAGTTAATCATTTATCAAGCTGGTAGGGGAGTGGCTAAGTGATGATCAGGCTGGCAGGCACAAGTAGTTAGGGACAATCAAGCAGGCAGGCAGGTGAGCGGTTGGAAGCCAGCAGTCCTGGATTGGGAGAGGGATGTCCCACTGCCTATTTGGGCCCAATTGGGCCTTAACAGGTAGTGAGACATTCCTTGAGGGGTCCCCGATTAGACAGGGTGCAGGCTGGGCTGAGACACACACACACATACACACACACACACACACACCATGCACAAATTTTGTGCATTTGGCCTCCAGTTTCTGAATGACTATCTTTGGTTTAGGACAAGAATTCTTTTGTTTTAACTTATTAAATATTATCTCATAAGTCAATAATATATTAGAGGCTTCACATGTATTAATTGTTGATGTTTATGAAATATTTGTCATATTTGGCACCTGGCAGAGTCCTTTTCATTTGTTTTCTAATTTATTCCCCACTGTGATGCTATGAGTAGATAATTTCACAGCATTTGACAATGAATTAACTGAGGCTTGGAGAGGAGAGCTGTAGAACCTGGACTTCAGACCTGGACTTATTTTATTTGGACAGGGATTCTTTTTGTTGCAATGAAGATTGTAAAGAAAAAGCATTCAATAAAGAAATTCAGATCACATGAGAAATTTATTGTTAATGTCAAGAACGATGGAGAGGTATAATGTTTGGACTAATGCTTCCTCTGAGAAAAACTTGAACCACCAGATAAAAAACAACCTATTAGAAGAGTTTGGGGAATCACTGAAGCATTCTGAGGCTGAGAGAAGACCAGATACTTTCCGTTCGTGAGGAACCTGGAGCTAAACCATTCGTAGATGTAAGGTTTGAGGCGCAGGAAACTGATCACCAAGGAGTTTTAAAGTAAAGTTTATTCCCCAGTAATGAGAGGGACTCGTTATGGAGGTAGAGAAGTCAGAATTAAAGGAGTTGGGGAGTGGGGATGGACCCAGCCGGGCTGCCACCTGGATGTGGAGGATCTGGGGGTATTTTTAAGGGGAGGAACAGGAGAGGGTTGGACCCAGGGCAGAACAGGAAGGGGTGGGCTCCAGGACACTTTGGCAGGCTCTGATCCATGGCTTAATGTCTTGGGGATGTCTCTGTGACAGGTGCCAGCAATGTCATAACTCAGCCCACCAGTTGGGAGGAGGGAGAACCTTATAGTAGACAACCTGCTTCTGTGTTGGGTTTTCATACATAGCATAGCAGCTCCCTCGCTGTGATCTATTGAAAGTCAGCCCTCGACACAGGGTTTGTAAAAACAAAACAAAACAAAAACAAAAAAAACCCACATGCAAAAAAAAACAGACTAGATACTTTCCGAGCCTGGCAAGGCAGCACTGAGTCTCAAGGTTACTCCAGACAGATCAGGACAGAGGCTCTTCATCACTGCCTGAGACTGCTTCCCGACATTTCCAGGGCTTCCCCAGGAAGGCTTTCTCTAGGTTCATCCACCTCAGGAGTGTCCTGCAGAGCCCTCTGGAGAACCAGCCTTAGAGGGTGTCTCTGCTTCCACCATCGCTGCCTGAAGGAGCCAATGAAGAAGTAAATGATGGGGTTGGCATAGCTGTTGACACAGGACAGAAGTAATAAAGTCATTTGAATATGAAAGAGGGGACGATATTTATTTGGAAATCAGACTATAAGGAACCATTCGATGCCAATGGGCTGGCCACAGAGGAGAAAGACCAGTACCATGGGCACCACAGTCATGTAGAGCCTGGTGAGGGGCACCCAGTGGGAGCCACATAACAGTCTGGTCATCAAGGCCAGGTTGGACACAGAGAGAAGCACAAATAACAAAATCAGCCATGCCACAGTGATGAAATCCATAACTTCACAACAAACAAGCACACTCCAATTCGGAAAGCTACATTAGTACTCTTTCAGCATGCGCAGTAGCAGGGACAGGGCCCAGAGCATAGCACACATGATAGAGGACAGGTGAGTGGGGCAGCAGCAGCGATACCAGATGGGCCACAGGACAGACATGCAGCGCTCCATGCTGATGGCGCTGAGAAAGCTCAGGCCTGAGATGTAGGCAACATTGCCACAGGTGGGAGAAATCTGACTGTTAATCGAATGAGAAAGTTGAAAATTAAATTTAAAAAATTTATAATATGGCAGCAGAGGAAGAGGAAGTTGGTCCTTGCCAGGTTGAGGATGTAGACAGAGAAGGCATTCCTGCCCATGCGGAAGCCCAGGAGCCAGAGCACCACCGCGTTCCCTGCCAGCCCCACCAGGGCCACGATGGCTGTCAGTATTTGCAGGATTATTTCCCCTGTGTAATGTTGATAAAAGTCCTGATCACTTCCATAGGTTGTTGTGAGCTCGGCCTCCCAGGCTGTGACAGTCATATCCATGTCCAAAAATGCTGCAGTTGTGGGCCTGGAAACAAAACAAGACTTGAGCACCTGCTCTATGACCACTTACTCTCATGGCCACCCTGTCTGTGGTGAATGGAGATTCCAGAGATCATAAATTGAAATTCTTAAAAATATTTGTCTACCACCACCCTGAAAAATAACGTACATTCCATCCTCAAGGAAGTTATGATGAGAGATAGTATTTCTAAGATGTGAAACCCAGGAGGGGGTGCCAATATTTCAAATAAATAAGATGTAAGAACAAGTCGATCTAATCACAGTGAGAGGGAAAAATTCCTTGGAACAAGAACTAATGAAGAAAAATGGATTCTCTTTATTTGATGTCAAATTTCATTTTTCAGCATCTCTATCCACTGCTGCATCCTGTGGGGATACGTGTCTTTGCCTCACCACTGGGCTCCCTTTCCCTCTGCCTCCTAATTTTTAGGAAAAGTGACACTGACATCTGATTGTAGGGCAGGAGGAGGGCTAACTCTCTGACCCTCTGCTGCAGGCTGTGAATTTGCCATGGTTGTGTTACTCAGAGCATGAATCTAAAGGGCGTTTAGTCTGAGAGAAACATACAGAATCTTCCTTTCCTACCCAGTCAGGTAAAACAATCTTATATAATAACTAGGTTATATGCAAATTGACCATCACTCCAACACATAAGATGGCTGCCCCCAAACGGTCAAAGATGGCCATCCCAATGTGGACACAAGATGCCTGGTAGAAGATAGCTAGCAGGGAGGGCACTTGTGGGTGATCAGGCCTTCAGGTTGGGCAGTTGAGGGGGAGACCCTGGCCTGCAGGAGAGGGCAGATGGTGGGAAGCAGACCAGCAGGGGAGGACAGTGGGGGGAATCAGGCCTTCATGGGAGGGCTGTGGTGGGTGAGCATGCCTCCAGAGGAGTGCATTTGGGGATGACCAGGCCTGCAGAGAAGGGCAGTTGTGGGCAACCATGCATGCAGGGGAGGACAGTAAGGGGCAATAAGGCCAGCAGGGGAGCAGTTAGGCATTTATCAGGTTGTTAGAGGAGTGGCTAAGGGGTTATTAGGCTGACAGGCAGAAGTAGTTAGGGGCAATCAGGCAGGCAGGCAGGTGAGTGAGTGGGAGCCAGCAGTCCTGGATTGTTTGAGGGATGTCCCACTGTCTGTTTAGGCCCAATCAGGCCTGAACTGGTAGTAGGACATTCCTCGAGGAGTCCCAGATTGGAGAGGGTGCAGGCTGGGCTGAGAGACATGCACACACCATGCACAAAGTTTGTGCACCAGGCCTCTAGTTTTTGAATGACCATCTATGGTTTAGGACAAGAATTCTTTTGTTTTAACTTATTAAATATTACCTCATAAGTCAATAATATATTAGAGGCTTCACATGTATTAACTGTTGATGTTTATGAAATATTTGTCATATTTGGCACCTGGCAGAGTCCTTTTCATTTGTTTTCTAATTTATTCCCCACTGTGATCCTATGAGGAGACAATTTCACAGCAATTTACAATGAATTAACTGAGGCTTGGGGAGGAGAGCTGTAGAACCAGGACTTCACACCTGGATTTGTCTGAGTTGGACAGGAATTGTTTTTGTTGCAATGAAGATTGTAAAGAAAAAGCATTCAATAAAAAAATTCAGATCACATGAGAAATTTATTGGTAATTTCAAAGACAATGGAGAGGTATAATATTTGGACTAATGCTTTCTCTGAGAAAAACTAGAATGACCAGATAAAAAACAACCTATTTAAAGAGATTGGGAAATAACTAAAGCATTCTGAGGCTGAGGCTGAGAGACTAGATACTTTCCAAGCCTAGCAAGGCAGCAGTGAGTCTCAAAGTTACTTCAGACAGATCAGGACAGAGGCTCTTCATCACTGCCCCAGACTGCTTCCCGACATTTCCAGGGCTTCCCCAGGAAGGCTTTCTCTAGGTTCACCCACTTCAGGAGTGTCCTGCAGAGCCCTCTGGAGAACCAGCCTCAGGGTGTGTCTCTGCTTCCACCATTGCTGCCTGAAGGAGCCAACGAAGAAATAAATTATAGGGTTGGCACAGCTGTTGACACAGGACAGAAGTAGTAAAATCATGTGAAGATGAACGACGGCAGGATATTCATCTGTAAACCAGAGTTGAAGGAACCATTCGATGCCAATTGGCAGGCCACAGAGCAAGAAGACCAGTACCGTGAGCACCACAGTCATGTAGAGCCTGGTGGATGACACGCGGTGGGAGCCACACAACAGTCTGGTCATCAGAGCCAGGCTGGACCCAGAGAGAAGGACAAATAACAAAATCAGCCATGCCACAGTGATGAAATAAAACACTTGACACCAAGCATGATACACTCCCCAATCCAGGAAGCGACAGTAGTACCCTTCCAACATGCTCAGCAGCAGGGACAGGGCCCAGAGCAGGGCACACATGATGGTAGATAGTTTTCTGGGGCGGTGGCAGCGGTACCAGATGGGCCACAAGACAGACAGGCAGCGCTCTGTGCTGATGGCACTGAGAAAACTCAGGCCTGATATGTAGGCAACCATTATCACAATCGAGAGAAATCTGCTAATTACTTCACTGACAAAATATAAGTTGAAAATTGAATCTAAGAAAAATATCATATGGCAGCAGAGGAAGAGGAAGTCAGCCCCTGCCAGGTTAAGGATGTAGACAGAGAAGGCATTTCTGCGCATACGGAAGCCCAGGAGCCAGAGCACCACTGCATTCCCTGCCAGCCCCACTAGTGCCAAGATGACTGTCAGTATACCCAGGACTATGTTCTCTGTAAACTGTTGATCACTTTCATCGGTTGGTGTGAGCTCCATCTCCCAGGCTGTGACAGTCATATCCATGCTCAGAAACGCTGCAGTTGTTGGCCTGGAAACAAAACAAGACTTGAGCACCTGCTCTATGACCACTGACCCTCATGGGCACCCTGTCTGTGGTGAATGGAGGCTTCCAGAGATTAGGATTCTTCCTTAAACACACAGTCTTGGAGTCCTGAAGGCTGAATTTAAACCCAGTTCTCTCTGAATCTTAGAGCCTGGGCTCCTTCTACTGCAACACAGACCCTCCATGTACAACCTCTCCACTCACCAGCCAGCCCATGACCTGTGCCCTGGAGGCAGGAGGAGAAGAGTCTGCTCAGGTCCTGTGGAGGACAATAGGGTCTGGAGTTCCCCAGTATTTGTGCTCTGGGAGAGTGCCTTTCATTTGACAACAAGCTGTCAGAAGCCTTGGGCAATCTCAGCAACTGAGAGTGATCTACTCACCTGGAGAAAGGTGGTTATGACTTAAGCTCATGAAGGCAATGAGACCCCTTGTTAGGATAGAGTGAGGACACCCAAAGCTCTTGCATTAGAAATGTCCCAGTGTGTCTTTTTTATGATAGACAGTGATTAGTCTTCCCCCTGTTGATTCTCCGGGCCCTAAGTCTGTGTGGGAACACAATAGGGCTGTCAATAAAATTTTAATCCACAAGTGAATGAATGAATGAATAAACTCATGAGGAGGAGCCAACTCATGTAACAAAAAGTAAATTCCCTTTCTAAGTATTCATTCTGTGAAAAGTTCTTGTGTGTTCAAAAGAACTTCTGTATGCCTGTAGACAACTCCTATCCAGGTGGGAGAGGATTCAGGACTGAATTAAACTTCCCTGCATTTTAGAGGAGAAAGAAGCCATTTTGGGAAGGAGAGAGACAGAGGTGACCAAGGGTGTGAATAGAGGTAATTGGGCAGAAATACAGAAGGGGCATTATTAACATGTTTTCCTATGATACATGTAATAGGAAAGTCCAGAATTGTCCCTACATATGATTTGGAGTAGAGATTTCTTTGCAGATCAAAGCATTTGTGTAAGAGAATTCCTCCTGGTGGTGGTGGAGTTAAGAAGTGCTTAGTTCTATTTTACAAAGGGCTTTGGATTGAAAGAGAAACTCTTGCAGATTTTGTGTAAACCAGCCCATATATAGGTGAAGAGTAGTAGCTGATGAATGGTTACAGTGTATTACCTCTTTTAATCCTCCAAATATCCTATGAGGCCAGTACTATGCTTACTCCCATATGGCATATAGGAAAAGATGAGCACAAGGAGGTTGAATAAAATGCTCCAGTTCTCACATGGACAAGTGGAAGAGCCTGGATCTGAACCCACAGGTCTGTGTCGGAGTCTTTACTCTTCCCCTGCCCTGCAGCCCCACTACCAGGGTGTTTTTTTCGGTACATATGGGGGGTGGCGGGGCAGGAAGCAAGTAACTCTTAAGGACAAATCTAAAATGACAACTCACTTGTGTGTTTTATTAAGGTAGAATAAGCAAATTTTATAAATAACAAGGGATGAAAATTATCCAGTATGGAAGAAGAAGTAGGTGGAATCCAGCTGAGAAGAGACCAGAGATTCCAGGAGCTCCTTCTTCCCTCTGGACAGACCTAATCAGACAATTATTGCCTGATTTAGCCAGAGTAGGTTCACCCAATAGAATTGAACCTGCTACTCTTCAAGCTGTAGGCTGCCACTCTTACCACTGAGTCAAACCTGCAAGGGTTTGTCTCCCTTTTTAAACTCAAAACTTCATAATGATGACTCAGTCTGTCTGGGTTTTGTCTTTTTTTTCTTGGTTATTGTTCACTATTGTATCTTTGGCATTGAGAACATGTCCCTTAGAGACCTTCTATACTAATAAAAGCCTAGGTGGCGTCATGCTCTCACGTGCAATCTTGTCATAAGATGGCCACCACATGATGGCTGCCACAAGATGGCCACAAGCATAGTGGAGGCCAGGCCTGGTGGCAGCTTAGTGCATTAAGATCTGGGAATCCCATGGCTCTGCCTGGCACAGAGGAGGCCGGTCCCAGCGTGTCCTTTACCTTGCATGGAGGAGGCGGGTCCTGATGGAGGAGGTCTCTCACAGTAGGGGAGGGAAGTTGTGGGCAATCAGGCCAGAAGGCAGGGCGGTTGGGGACGATCAGGTCAGGGTGGGGGGCAGTGGTGGGTGATAGGGCTGGCAGGGGAGGGATATTGTGGGCAATATGGCCAGCAGGAGAGGTTAGTTGGGGGCCATCAAGGTGGCAGGAGATAAGTTGAGCATTAATCAGGCCAGTGGGGGGTGTTTAGGGGGCGATCAGGCAGGTTAGTGGTTAGGAGCTTGTGGTCTCAGATTGCAAGAGGGATGTTCAACTGCCTAAACTGTTAGTCGGACATCCCCTGAGGGGTCCCAGATTGGAGAGGGTGCAGGCGTGGCTGAGGGACCCCACCCACCAGTGCACGATTTTTGTGCACTGGACCTCTAGTCTATTATAATGTCATCCTTTAATATAGGAAGAAACTGAGGCTAAAAGAGCCAAAGGATTTCCCTTAGATCACAGGATGAACAACAGGTCCAGTGCCTGCCAATGGGAGGTGAGTACAGGTGATGTAACTAATTTTTGGTTGTGCTTTTCTTTCCCCTTTTCTCCTCTGGATGGAATGCTGATGAGCATAGGAGCATTAGATTTAAGTCACCTCTCTAGGACTAGGGAGCAGTGATTTGAAAGAGCATAGGTGTCTGATGCCTTGGAGACACCAGTCAAGTTCTAGTAACCTCTCTTGTATTTCTTTTTAGAGCACCAAAAACATAAATTGAAATTCTTAAAAATATTTGTTTCTAAACCCCTTGAAAAATAATAATGTACATTCTATCCTCAAGACATTTATGATGAGAGAGATATTATTTCAAAGAAGTGAGTCCCAGTAGAAGGTGCCAAAGATCAAATAAATGAGATGTAATAACAAGTTGTTCTAATCACAGTGAGAGAGAAAAAAGTCCTAGGAAAAAGAACTAAGAAAAGGGTATAAGAAAAATGGATTCTCTTCATTTGATGTCAAATTTCATTTCCACGTTCTCTACCCTCTGCTGCATACTGAGAGGACACATCTCTTTGTATCACCATTGGGTACCCTTTCCCTCTTGTTGTTCTCAGAAAAAGTGACACTGACAGCTGTAGGGCAGGAGTGTGATTGAGGTTTAATTCCTTGCCTCTCTGCTGTCAGCCTGTGAGCTTGCCATGGTGGTGTTACTCTACCTAAGGAGAGAGCCCCTGGCTGTGGGCCTTTTTTTTTTTTTTTTTTTTTTTTTTTTTTTGTCATAGAGACTAACACCAGTACAGCCACAGCTTTCCTATGTTCTGGTCACATATTTTCCTTTACACTTCAGGATGTACAATGGCAAAAGCTCCCTATTATGATTTATCTTTAGGGACCTCTGTATCCTCTATTGATTTTCTTTAGTCATGTTAACCCTTTATACACAGTATTTTTATTAAACTCTCTTCAATTTCCCTATTTGTTTGTACCTTGTGTTTTTGGCTGTGACAAGAAAAATACATGCATATAACAAACAAACTCATAGAACAGCAAGGTAATGTGTGAAACTTGAGGTTATTAACAACAATTCATATTTGAAAACTATGTCTCTGAAGCAGAAAGGACCTGGGTCTCTCACAGCCTAAGTTACCAGCATCCACAGTTTCCCTGAAAGAGCTTCACATCTCTGGACTCTCCTTCATGAGTGCCTATGACTTCTTGCAGTAGTGACCATGTCGACTAAGAGGTAGAAAACAAAGATAGTTCTGAGCTGACTCTTACCTGAGCACCATCTTCTTGTTGAAAGTGGTGAGTGGAAAAAGAGGAGCTTTCCAGGGAGTGCTGAACACCAGAGAATGCTCTCCGACCCTGGATAGGAGGTGTCTGCAGAAGCAGGAGTGGAACTTGGTGACCAAGTGAGGCTTATCAAGATGCTGGGCGGCCCCTGTTACTTCCTGCACAAGAGGCCCAAGCAAGTGAGATTCTGGGGATTTGAGACAAGGGCTTCATGAGATGCTTCTCACTTGCCCTAAGTTCAATGACTTATCTCTTCCTCTCTCCGTCTTACCCCATCTGGTCCTCCTCCAATGAGGAATGCCTGAACTAGAACCTGCAACTGCGCACTGTGGGTGTGTGCAGGAAGCCCACCCAAGAAGCAACGTGAGCTTGCATAGCTGAAGAAGAGTTTGCTTGGAATTCAGGTCCTGCATGGCCTGGCTCATCTGATCTGTTTCCATTTACTCTCAGGAGGGATGTATGCACATGAGTTTATTTCAGAGGACACAAGTGTATGTAAAATAAAAATGTAAAGACTCTTCTAATCTCAATCACCAATAGCAACCAATGTTTACAGTTCTCATTTTAAATCTTTTACAAGTTATTTTATAGCTTTGTGTAATGAAACCTGCTTTCTGGTTGTGACTTATTGATATCAACAACTGTGTATACTGTGTTATCTTAAAATTTTTTTTATTGTTTTAAGTGTTACAAATAGTAGTACATATATCTCCTCCCCTCCCCCCCCATTGACCTCCACCTGGCCTCCACTACACCCCAGTACATGCTCTCACCTGTCCCCCTGCAGTGTCTTGTATTTATTGGTTATGCTTATATGCATGCATACATGTCCTTTAATTGATCTCTTACAGTACCCCCTCCCAATCTCCCCTGTCTTCCTGTTCTAGTTTGACAGTGTGTGCAATGCTTCTTTGCCTTTGTATCTATTCCCCCCCACCCCCAATTTCTTATGTTTAAAAAATCTCCATCAGGAGAGAACTTGGGGGTCAACAGAGTTGGGGCACAGACCCTCACCCCCCCAATCCTGTAGGAGCCTGAACCCTCACCCCTTCTGAGGGAGGTCTCCTGCCCCCTTGGCTGCTTCACTTCCAATGTCCAGCTCAGATCAGGACCCAGGTAACAGACAGAGACCTGGCAGCACTGAATCTCAAAGTTACTTTAGACTGATCAGTATAGAAGCTCTCATCACTGCCCCAGACATTGCCCCGACATGCACAGCATTTCCCCAGCTCAGATTGGTACTCGGGTAATAGACATAGAGACTTGGCAGACAGCAGCTGCCCTATATCTAAATCCAGACTAGCTCCAGGAATGCTCAGGGCCTACTCAAGAATGCAAACAATCCTTTCCACTAATATTTACAGGGTAAACTAAGATTGTTGGTAGAGTGTTAAATTTGACAGTAAAATAGTAACCAAGTTTTCAGATTAATTTAAATTGGCTCATTGAAATAAGTGAATATTCAAGAAAATTTAATTGTACTGGACAAAAAGCTGTTCCTAAAGTATTAACTAAAATTTCTATTGATAGTTCATCTCATGGTAAAATTGCTTAACATGCAATGAACCTAAAGCAGTCATATTTTTGTGCAAAACTTTAAATTTAAAGTTATCAAGACTATATTATAAAATTTACAAAAGCCTTCATTAATCAAAAAAAGGGGAGCTAGTAGGGTAATACCATGCATTCCCTTTTAACAGATAAGGAATTTAACACACCACAGGCACTACCAGTCAGTCATTTATTCCTCTCCCTGCCCACCCCCCTTCCCACTCTCTCCCTGACATTTGTTAGCTAGATTGTTTTCACATGATGTGGGGATAACCAGTGTTTTCTACTTTAGTTCCTATGACTTCCTTTCATGTGCCCATGCCACAGCCAAATTGAGTTAGATGACATTTTCTTAAAAACTTAACTATGAAGCATTTGAAACAATGAGAGAAACTTATTCATGCATTTCTGCATTTGCCCAAATCTGCTGTGTGCATATACTGTGCCAGATCCAGGCAGAGAAGGTGCTGTAGACCAATGCCACCAGAGGACCTTTCACAGGCCCAATTTTATGGACTGTGCTTATCTAAGGATATCATTTTACCTAAACCCAGACAACCCAATGAGATTAGAGGTAGGCCAACTCATTTATTCAAGCTTTTAACCTATAGAATGCCCCTGACCACAGAACTAAGCATGAATTTAAAGGGCCTATAGTCTGAGAGAAACATAGGGAATCTTCTTTTTCTATCCAATCAGGTAGAACAATTCTGAATGACTATTTATAGTTTTGGACAAGGATTCTTATTTTTAACTTATTAAATATTACCTCAGAAGTCAATTATATATTAGAGACTTCACATGAATTAACTGCTGATCTTTATGAAATATTTAGTTATATTTGGTGCCTGGTTGAGTCCTTTTCTTCTGTTTTCTATATTATTCCCCACTAAGATCCTATGAGCAGATGATTTCACTGCATTTTACAATGAGTTAACTGAGGCTTGCAGAGGAGAGCTGCAGAACCAGAACTTTAGACTTGAATTTGTCTAATTTGGACAGGAATTCTTTCTGATGCAATGAAGATTCTAAAGGAAAAGCATTCAAGCCAAAATCGGTTTGGCTCAGTAGTAGAGCATCGCTCTGTGGACTGAAAGGTCCCAGGTTTGATTCCGGTCAAGGGCATGTATATTGGTTTTGGGCACATCCCCAGTAGAGGGTGTGCAAGAGGCAGCTGGTCGATGTTTCTCTTTCATCGACGTTTCTAGCTCTCTAACCTTCTCTCCTCCTCTCTGTAAAAATCAATAAAATTTAAAAAAAAGAAAAAAAAGAAAAAGCATTCAATAAAGAAATACCATAAGATTACATGAGAAATTTATTGATATTGTCAAGAACGATGGAGAGTTATAATGTTAGAATTAATGCTTTCTCTGAGAAAAACTAGAGCAGCCATATTAAAAACTACCTAGTTGAAGAGACTGGGGAATCACTGAAGCATTCTGAGGCTGAGAGAAGACTAGATACTTTCCAAGCCTGGCAGGGCAGCAGTGAGTCTCAAAGTTACTTCAGACAGATCAGGACAGAGGCTCTTCATCACTGCCCAGACTGCTTCCCGACATTTCCAGGGCTTCCCCAGGAAGGCTTTCTCTAGGTTCATCCACCTCAGGAGTGTCCTGCAGAGCCCTCTGGAGAACCAGCCTCATGGTGTGTCGCCGCTTCCACCATCTCTGCCTGAAGGAGCCAACAAAGAAGTAAATGATGGGGTTGGCACAGCTGTTGACACAGGATAGGGGTACTACAAACTCGTAAAGATAAGCGAAGGCATAAAAATTATTTTCAAGCCAGTAAAAGAGAAACCAGTGGATGCTGACGGGCAGGCCGCAGAGGAGGAAGACCAGCACTGTGAGCAAGATGGTCACATAGAGCCTGGTGGGCGTCACCCGGTGGGAGCTACACAACAGTCTTGTCATCAGGGCCAGGCTGGACCCAGAGAACAGCACAAATAACAAAATTAGCCACGCCATAGTGATGAAATATAATACTGGACACCAAACTTCATACAAATTCTCAGTCAGATAGCCAAAGTAGTTCCCTTCCAGCATGCTCAGCAGCAGGGACAGGGCCCAGAGTAGAGCATACATGATGGTACGGTAGATAGTTTTCTGGGGCAGTGGCAGAGGTACCAGATGGGCCACAGGGCAGACATGCAGCACTCCTTGCTGATGGCGCTGAGAAAGCTCAGGCCTGAGATGTAGCTAAAGAGTAATACAGGCAAGAGAAACTTGTTTATTACGCTAAGGAAAAAAATCGACGTCGAAAAATAAAACTAGGGTAGTTATAAATCGGCAGCAGAGGAAGAGGAAGTCGGCCCCCGCCATAGTGAGGATGTAGACTGAGAAGGCGTTGCTGCGCATGCAGAAGCCCAGGAGCCAGAGCACCACCGCGTTCCCTGCCAGCCCCGCCAGGGCCACGATGACTGTCAATACTTCCAGGATTATGTTCTCTGTAAACTTGATCACTTCCATGGGTTGGTGTGAGCTCAGTCTCCCAGGCTGTGACAGTCATATCCATGCTTAGAAACGCTGCAGTTGTGGACCTGGAAACAAAACAAGACTTCTAAGGTTTTGGGCATCTTCCTTAGCAGTTTGATTTGTGGCTCTATTTCCTCTGGCTTTAATTGTCTCCCCTTTCTAATGTCTTTTGCAGTGCACTATTGCAACTGCCTTTGGGAGCCAGATGGCCTCTCCTTTCAGGCTGAAGTTGGTAATTTCCCTTCCCGGGGGATGGCACTGTGTCCCCATCAAAGGGCCTGGATTAAGGCCAAAAGTTTACTGATGTTCCTCTGTTCAGGAACTGTGCCCAAATGGTGTGGTCCACGGTGATACCGCTGCCCTTGCATATCAGATCCCATCCTGAAAGTAACTGCTCCCATCCATGAACAGTACCTCGTCTGGTGATGATGGTGGGACATCTGTCAGGTCTGGGTCTGTTACCTCTGTGTGGTCATGAATGAGTTCCTCTGGATCATCTGGAAGCAGGCTGGCAGGGTTGATGGCCAGTGTTTTATGGAACCGGATGCAGGGCTGGTCCAGGAGAAGAGCTTGGCACTGGGTGATTCTGGTGTTTGATATCCATCTCTCTGGAGTACCTCAAAGGAGGATCTCAATGGCAAGGGGTGTTGTCAGGGCTAGCTCCTGGCCCAGAGTCTGCTTATCTGCCTCCTTCACCAGCAATGCTGTGGTGGCCACTGCCCAGAGGCACACTGGGCACCCTGCTGCCACAGGGTCTAGCCTCTTAGACAGAGAGGCAACAGGTCTCTTCAAAAATGCATAACCATGCCTTAAACCTCCTATTATTTTAAAATATTTGGAAAAGGCAGAGGGAAGAGGGAGCAGGCCCAGCACTCTGTTCCTAGGCTCCAGCTGCTTGAAATTGAAAATGCCACATTTTCGCCGAAACCGATTTGGCTCAGTGGATAGAGTGTCGGCCTGCGGACTAAAGGGTCCCGGGTTCGATTCCGGTCAAGGGCATGTACCTTGGTTGTGGGCACATCCCCAGTTGGGGCTGTACAAGAGGCAGCTGGTCGATGTTTCTCTCTCATAGACATTTCTAACTCTCTATCCCTCTCAATTCCTCTCTGTGTAAAATCAATAAAAAATATATATATTTTTAAAATGCCACATTTTTCCTACAGATACAGATCTCAGATTCTGATAGGCCTGAAAAGGGGAATGGGAGAATTTCTAACTGCATCTTTAAGCCCCCTAACAGAACACGATGAAAAGTGTCCAAGGAGTCGCCGGAGGTTCTTGGGTCTCATTGGGGTGCAGGAGGTCACAAGTGAATTCCCTTCCTTATTCCAACCACCACTACTCAAAACAACCCATGGAGGGGATGGACGCCCAGTGCGGGGAGACAGGGAGGACAGGTTGGGTCCCAAGTGGTGAAGGAGGTGCTCCCACCAAGGTGTTTTCATCTGGTGGTCCGCTGGGAAAATTGCTTGCCTCCTGCTGACAAAGGTGGCGTGGGGGGAACCGGTGACCCCTACACTGCAATCAGTCTCCCTGACCTTTCTGAAAAACTCTTCTATCTGAGTGTGTTTCCATTAATATTACTGATTTTAAAACTATAACTTAAGAGTTGACATATACACATAAGGACCAAGCGACCCTCAAAATATTTTTCTTTTAAAGATTTTGCAATGTCATTTAAGTCTATTATATAGTTTTCTGCAGGGCACTGTTAAGGTTGTGCATGGTGGCCAGTTTTTCTTTCTAGCCATAACACAGTCTGTCTAATTTCCCTGAAATTTATTTGTGCATGGGAGAAAGTTGTTTTGCTATAAACAGGCAGCTTAACCCTATATAACTGGGCTTGATCTGCCTAGAAAGCCTTAATTTATAAGTTTAACATGTGGCCTTAGGTCCTTTTAACCCAACAGAGTTTCTGCCATCCCCCAGTCAGGTTTCTCCTGTCTTGGAGATTCTCAAAGTCCTGAAGGCTTCCCAGTCCAAGGAAAGTGCCTTTCCTTTGCTGTTTGACTCTAAGTTGCCATTCTACAATGGCCTGAGTTGTAGTTAGAAACAGCTTTGCATATTGCAAAGTGCTTCTGTGGCAGTGGCTTGGGTATTACTCCCCTCCCCCGCTCCCCTTCCAGCAGCAATAGGTATTAAACCCTTGGCAGCTCAGGCATCCAGACCTCCTCACTTCCTTCTTTTATCTGGTTCTTGGGGGATGAGTTTGCTAGGCAACTTTTAAATCACCAAGGCAGTTAGAAGCTCTGATAAGACACCAAGACTAGCAGAGTGGGCTGCAGCCAGTAAAAATAAACAAAACCCTATTTCTTACAGCTTTATAATTAACTGCTGACACTCCTCTCCCCTCCTCTGCATTAACCATTTACTCTGTCCTTAGCAGGGTAAATAAGGCAAGTGGTCTGAGATCCTGTATAATTAGGCCTTTTATATTTAAGGATACTTTTTTTTTTTTTCCTCATTCAAATCTGTAACCGTTGTTTTCCTCATAGATTTTTACTCTAAGCCCCTAGATTCCTAGAGGATCTTAAATCCTCTTTTACCATTCTTGATTTCTCTGACCACGCCCTCCCCACCCTATCCCATCCCCCAGTCCAGTTGCTAGTCTCTTTTTCCTATTGTGAATCAGAGGAAGACAATTTCTACGGGGGGGGGGAGGAGGGGGGAGGATAGAAACAGTGGGAGTTTCAGAGAAGACTACAGACCGCCGCTGTAGCAGTCCTCCTTTTCGAAGGCTGAGTTTTGACCTGTGAAAAAATAACTATTAGTCAGCCTGGAAAGATAGGGAGGAGGAAGATAAGCGTGTGTATGGAGATTTCTTGCTAGCTGAAAGCCTGGATGGCCTCCTGAAAGAAAGGATATATATATTTTAAAATATATTTTATTGATTTTGTACAGAGAGGAAAGGAGAGAGATAGAGAGTTAGAAACATTGATCAACTGCCTCTTACACACCTCCTACTGGGGATATTCCCGCAACGAAGGTACATGCCCTTGACCGGAATCGAACCAGGGACCCTTCAGTCCCCAAGCCAACGCTCTATCCATTGAGCCAAACCGGTTTTGGCAAGGATATTTAATCCAGTTACAGATGCTATCAGAAGTGGGGGTCCATAGATGGTTAATAATAACTCCAGCCTTAGTTTCAGGTTGGATGATGATGTCACAGGCAGGGACAGGGCCTGTAAATCTCTCCACCCTGTGGAGCTGTAAGTCCCTGAAAGTTTCCAATTACCAAAAGAGACAATAAAGCCATAAATAAAAGTTCTTTGTTCCTTGAAATTTCACAAATTTATACCTTTAAATTAACCTTAGGACTTTATAATTTCAATTTAATATAGCAAATTATAAATCAGAGCAAATGAAACCTTTACTTATGCAAACATACAAACAGAGAGAGAAATTTTTATTAGCTAAATGGTCTGATTCCCTCCACTGAGATAGAGAGTTAACATCTCTGAGAAAAATAACTCAGCAGTTGCTTAAGATGTTTACAGACCATCAGAGCAAGACTGCCCTATCTTCAACAATTTAAACAACAGAAAGATAAATACTCCCATGCATCCATAGCATAAACAGAGAAAGACAAACATAGACAAACAAAGGGCCCCTAAGAACAGCCTTCTAACTTCGTGGAGACAACGGCCTCATGCCGACCCGCCTCATCTCAGATCCTGGAGGGGATTCCACATCCCTCCTTGAGGGGATTCCATGTCCCTCCTGTGGGAGGATCAGAGTATTCTCTGATCCTCCTGCCCGAGGTCCTCCTGTGCATCCACTTAGGTCGCTTTGGGCTCTACATATTTCAGAAAGGAGCTCACACAAGAAAGATACAAACACACAAACACACAGACACCTACCATAGCCAGTCAGGCTCTCCAGTCGGGGGTTCCTCAGGGCATTGGGGATCCTAGACGAGCCCCCAAATGTTATGCCCAGATTTCATGATCCCCAAAGACAACCAGGGAGCTGAGTCTGATGAAAATGCAGAAGAGTTTTTTTATTACAGGCTAGCCTGGCTCACCCCTCCACATACCGATGCAGAAGCAAGGTGGAGGAAGAAGAGACCCGGTTTCTCCAGAACAAGAGACTTAAAAGGGGTGGTGAGGTCACTGCTTTGGCTGACCCCAATTGGGTGAGTAAGGGCCAAGGTCCAGTTACATAGTGACATAGTTATACAAAATGGAGGAAGTTAACCCTGTCCTGCCCTTTCACTTTCATTCATTAGTTCACTTATTCAAACAACATTTATTATTCTAAGGGGCCAGTCTAAGGACTGCCAAAATCATCAATGCTGCTCACTGGGGATTGACTGAACTTTAATTTGTTTAATTTATAGAGACATTGTAGAAGAATGACCACAAAAACTTGTCAAGAATGTAATGTTCATGTAGTTTCAATAAAATTCAGTGATGAAAGAAATTTAGAATTTTCCTGCACTTCATCTTCTGCTGTAGGTGAGATTCTGTAATATGATAGCAGTTCTGGACCCCGCAGTGATGGCAAAGCTCCCATGGGCATGGGGTGAAGGCACTGAGTGAGGCAGTCCTGGGACCTTGCACTCTGTGTTTGTTTAACAGGTACTGTCTCACTTCATCCTCTGGAGCTGGATTATTATGTTAATTGTTTTAATGCAGGGGCCCAGAGGGCAAACAAGGCAGGAAAACCAATCAAATGAGAGGGACGAAACTGGCTTTCAAAGTCAAACCTGTCTGAACAAAGCAAGGCTCTGAATCAGAACACCAGACTTTCTGACATGGCCATGGTTTCCCCAGGAAGGCTTTCTCCAAGTTCATCCACCTCAGGAGTGTCTTGCAGAGCCCTCTGGAGAACCAACCTCAGGGTGTGTCTCTGCTTGCACCATCGCTGCCTGAAGGAGCCCACAAAGAAGTAAATGATGGGGTTGGCACAGCTGTTGAAACAGGACAGGAGAATTGTCACTAAGAATAGAGGAAAGAAGGCATAAAAGTTGTGAAACCAGATTACGAGGAACCAGTAGATGCCAAAGGGCAGGCCACAGAGGAGGAAGGTCAGCACTGTGAGCAAGATGGTCACATAGAGCCTGGTGGGCAGCACCCGGTGAGAGCCACACAGCAGTCTTGTCATCAGGGCCAGGGTAGACCCAGAGAGCAGCACAAATAACAACATCAGCCATGCCACATTGATGAAATCTAACACTGGACACCAAACTTCATCCCCCTTTTCAGCCAGGAAGCCACAGTAGTACCCTTCCAGCATGCTCAGCAACAGGGATAGGGCCCAGAGCAGAGCACATATGATGGTAGATAGTTTTCTGGGGCGACGGCAGCGGTACCAGATGGGCCAGAGGACAGACATGCAGCGCTCTGTGCTGATGGCGCTGAGAAAGCTTAGGCCAGAGATGTAGGCAAAGATTGCCACAGGCAAGAGAAACTTTTCCATTACCCTAAGGAAAAAATCGACGTTGAAAAGTGATATTAGGCTAGTTATAACTTGGTAGCAGAGGAAGAGGAAGTCGGCCCCCGCCAGGTTGAGGATGTAGACTGAGAAGGCGTTTCTGCGAATGCTGAAGCCCAGGAGCCAGAGCACCACTGCATTCCCTGCCAGCCCCACCAGGGCCACGATGGCTGTCAGTATTTGCAGGATTATTTCCCCTGTATAATGTTGATAAAAGTCCTGATCACTTCCATAGTTTGTTGTGAGCTCGGCCTCCCAGGCTGTGACAGTCATATCCATGCTCAGAAATGCTGCAGTTGTGGGCCTGGAAACAAAACAAGACTTGAGCACTTGCTCTATGACCACTGACGCTCATGGCCACCCTGTCTGTTCTGTGGCACATGGAGGCTGCCAGAGATTAAGATTCTTCCTGAAACACAGTTTTGGAGTCCTGGAGCATGAATTTAAACCCAGTTTTTTCTGAATCTTAGAACCTGGGCTCCTTCTACTGCAACACACATCCTCCGTGTCCAACCTCTCCACTCACTATCCAGCCCATGACATGTGCCCTGGAGGCAGGAGGAGAAGAGTCTGCTCAGGTCCTGTGGAGAACAATAGGGTTCCGAGTTGCCCATTATTTGTGCTCTGGGAGAGTGGCTTTGTTTGACTGTAGGCTGTTAGAAGCTCCAGGCCAATCTCAGTAACAGAGTGAACTACTCACAGGGAAAAAGGAGGTTATGACTTAGGCCAGGGGTCGGCAACCTTTAAGACATAAAGAGCCACTTGGACCTGTTTTCGAAGGAAAAAAAAACCTGGGAGCCGCAAAACCATTGCGACATTTAAAACAAATATAACACTGCATATATTGTTTCTTACCTTAATGCTATATACCGGATCGTGCAGTTAGCTGTCAATCTGAAGAAAAAAAGGACTTTTTCACTTAACAATGTAAAATATATTTTTGCAAATTAATAGCTAATTTAAAATATTTAATTTACCTGGTTAATGGGATTTTTGCTCCTGAACCTCAGTGCACAGTGTCTGCACATCAGGGCTGCAAGACGTTACCTTCATTTTCACACAGGCTTGCAAGTTGTCATCTGTGAGGTGTAATCGATGTTTGTTTTTAATATAGTTCATGTTGGAGATGTGGAGCCGAAGATCGACAGGACTCCAAATGCATACTTTTTCATGTTTATATAAGTGTTGGAGATGGCATTCCATGTTTTGAATAAAAGTTTGTCCTGTTTGGGAAGGTTTTCAATATCACTCCATTTATGATTCTGAGCCAGAATGGCCTTCTGACGGGCAACATCCTCAAGAGTAGCGGCCAAGCATTTGAACTTGGACACCCATATATCTTTGTCGGCTATATCAGACAGTTCCATCTCAAGATCAAGTTGACTTACACCTGCAAATGCAGTTATATTCAATAGGGATGGATCGATCGCCAGGGGAGTGACAGGGAAGGATAATGTGTTTTTTTTCCTCTCTGAACTCACAGAATCGTTTCCCAAACGAATTTTGCATTGTGGTGATTGCAGACTTCAAATATTCCAAATTTATCGTATCATGACTTTGTTTGAACTCTCTCAAAGAGGGAAAGTGAGACAGTGTACCTCTCTGTAAATCTTTGACAAACACTGTCAACTTGCGCTCGAATGCCAAAACCTCCTCCAACATGTGCAGGGCTGTGCTTCCTTTCCCCTGAAGAGTTGTATTTAGTGTGTTTAGATGTGCTGTCATGTCTACCATAAAATGTAATTTTTCCAGCCACTCTGGTTGTTCCAGCTCAGGAAAGGTGAGCTCTTTGCTGGCCAGGAAAGTTTTTACTTCTTCCAAACATGCGACAAAGAGTTTTAGCACCTCGCCTCTGGACAGCCACCAGACCTTGTTGTGGAGCAGGAGGTCAGAATATATGCTTTCCACTCACTGTACAGGCCCGACTCCCAGTGACAGTCACACTGCAAGCCCTCTCTTTCTCTTTCTCCAGTCCTCTCTGTCCTCTTCTTTTTCCTTCTCCCTTTTTTCTCTTTATTGCTTTTTTATTATTATTATTTTTCAGTGTCCCCTCTGTCAGCACCTCTCTTTCCCCTCGCAGCAGTCTCCTCCAACCCAGCTCAGAGGTGCACAGGCTGTGATGTGAGGGAGGAGGCTGGGCCAGGACAGGGACACTGTGGTTGCCTAGCGACGCTAAGTCACCAGCAACCTGCCACACAGAGCACCAGGAGTGCCGAAGGGGGCGGAGATAAGTGATACAGCTCCCCGCCTCCCCCTCCCCCCACCTGCTATGGGCCAGCTGGGAGCCGCAGCATAGCTTCAAAAGAGCCGCATGCGGCTCCGGAGCCGCAGGTTGCCGACCCCTGACTTAGGCTCATGAAGGCAATGAGACCCCTTGTTAGGACAGAGTGAGGACACCCAAAGCTCTGGCATTAGAAATGTCCCAGTGTGTCATTTTTATGAGGATAGACACAATGTTGTGTCCCCAGGGCCCAAGTCTGTGTGGGGACATAATGGGGCTGTCAATAAAATTGAAACCCACAAATGAATGAATGAATGAGTGGATGATTGAGGAGCAGTAAGAAAATTTGGATTTAATATAATATGATAATTTTAAAAATGAAGAATATTAAATGTAAAACAGAAGTCAGCTCTTTTCACCACCAAAAACACACAAGTAACAAAAAGAAAATTCATGTTCTAATTATTTATTCTGTGAAAAGCTCTTGTGTGCTTGAAATAATTTTTTTATGCCTGCAGAAATCTCGTATCCATGTGGGAGAGGATTCAGGACTGAATTAAACTTCTCTGCCTTTTAGAAGAGAAAGAAACCATTTTGGGAAGGAGAGAGACAGAGGTGGCCAAGGGTATGAATAGAGGTAGTTGGGACAGAAATACAGAAGGGGCATTATTAACTGGCTTTCCTATGATTTGTGTAATAGGAAAGCCACTCAGTGTCCCTACATATGATTTGGAGTAGAGAATTTTTATACATCAAAGCATTCGTGTAAGAGCTGAAACCAGTTTGGCTCAGTGGATAGAGCATCAGGCTGTGTAGTAGAAGGTCCCGGATTCGATTCCGGTCAAGGGCATGTACCTTGGTTGCGGGCACATCCCTGGTGGGGGGTGTGGAAAAGGGGCCTAATTGATGATTCTCTCTCATCGATTTTTCTAGCTCTCTATTCCTCTGTCTACATCTCTGTGAAAAATCAATAAAATATTTTTTAAAAAAACATTGTGTAAGAGAATTCTCATGGTGGTGGTGGAATTAAGAAGTGCTTATTTCTATTTTACAAAAGTGCTATGGATTAAAAGAGAGAAATTCTTGCAGAATTTATGTGAGAAACACAAACCGACTCACACATATGTGAAGAGGAGCAGCTGATGAGTGCTTACGTGGTATTACCTCTTTTAATCCTCCTAATAGCTCTAGAAGCCAGTATATGCTTACTCCCATCTGGCATATAGGAAAAGACAAGCAGGAGGAGGTTGAATGACATGCTCCAGTTCTCACGTGCACAAGTGGAAGAGCCCAGATCTGAACCCACAGGTCTGTGTCAGAGTGTTTACCCTTCCCCTGCCCTGCAGCCCCCCACTACCAGGGTCACTTGTAACAAGGGATCTAATCTGTGTTTTATTAAACTAGAATAGGCAAACTTCACAAATAACAAAGAAATTGGTAGAATCCATTTATTTGTTATTTGTGAGAACAGACCAGAGAAGCCAGGAGCTGCTTCTTGCCTCTGGACAAACCCAATCAGTCAATTCTTTGCAGGTTCACTGCGATAGCCCAGCCCTCCCTGTGTTCTGGCAACTTATTTTTTCCTTTTAAACTTCAAGATGTGTAAGGGCAATAGCTCCCTTATATGACTAATCTTTAGGTGTGTCATCCTTTTCACCCTCTTTCTACACTTTTATTAACTCCCTTCAAATTGCCCTATTTGTTTGATGTCGGAGTGGGTCCAGAGACATGGAAACTTGAACAGAGTGCGGAATCTCTGAGGGAAGGCTGTGTGTGTGTGTGTGTTGGGGGGGGTTAGGGGGGGAGAGAGTGGTAGGTGGGTGGGAGGTAATCGACCAAAGACCTTGTTTGCCTAATCCATGGACAAAGATAATAGGGTGGTGAAGGCCTGATCAGGAGGGGAGGCATGATGGGGTAAATGGGGCAAAAAGGGAACATTGTAATACTTTCAACAATAAAACTAAAAACAATGTGTCCATATGGGTGCATCAATTTCAATAAATGTGCCACATTAATGGAAGATGTTAGTAATAAGATAAACTGTGTGGGGAATTAGGAATGAGGGGGTATAGAAATCTTCTGTACTTTCTGTACTATTTTTTTCTTAAAAAGTGCTCTGAAGTATAAAAACTATTAAAATAAATAAGCAAACAAGCAACTGAATAAACATTTACAATATACATAATTAACCAAATCCCCGTTCGGTATATATCAAAACTCCTACAAACAAAGAATGCAAAGGGGCAACACTTAATAAAAACTGGCAAAACTGAAAAAGACACTTCAAGAAATACAAGTAACCTATAAGCTCATGAAAGGATGCTCATGAGTAAAAAGGTTGAAAAATGATGAAAACAGTGCACTTTAAGAGGGTGACTCAAATCTGGCAATGGGATTTAGCAGAGACTTGACTTGAAAATCACCATACTTTTGTTCTTTAGTTCACTTATTCAAACAACATTTATTATGCTAAAGAGCCAGTGTAAGGCCTGCCAAAATCACCAAAGCTGCTCCCTGGGGCTTGACTGAACTTTAATTTGTTTAATTTATAGAGACATTGTAGAAGAATGACCACAAAAACTTGTCAAAAATGTAAGGTTCATGTAGTTTCTATCAAGTTCAGTGAAGAAAGAAATTTAGACTTTTCCTGCACTTCATCTTCCTTTGTAGTTGAGATTCTGTAAATGTGAGAGCAGTCCTGGACCCCAGAGATGGCAAAGCTCCCATGGGCATGGGGTGAACGCCCTGAATGAGGCAGTCCTGGAGCCTTGCGCTCTGTGTTTGTCTAACAGGCACTGTTTCACTTCATCCTCTGGAGCTGGATTATTATGTTAACTGTTTTAATTCAGGGGTCCAGAGGGCAAACACAGTAGGAAAACCAATCACATGAGAGGGACAAATCTGGCTTTCAAAGTCACACATGTCTGAACAAAGCAAGGCTCTGAATCAGACACCAGACTTTCTGACATGGCCATGGTTTTCCCAGGAAGGCTTTCTCCAGGTTCATCCACCTCAGGAGTGTCTTGCAGAGTCCTCTGGAGAACCACCCTCAAGGTGT